TATATTTATTTTGTATAAATTAAATAATATTATCTAATAGAAGTATTCGTCGTTGTGTGAATGCCACCGGTCGTCTATCTACAAATGGAAATACAAGTCCACCATTATTAAATCGAACAAATCCAACAGGTGTTCTTTCATCATCATCTCGTCCAAGTCAACCATCACCAAATATAGTTCATCATCGTGGTGCTTATTATACAATTCTTCGTCCAACATCACGTCGAACTGATGTAGGTGTTTTTTTTCGTTTCTTTTCTTTTCTTTTTCTTTTTTAATATAAGAAAAAAAAAAACATGACATAATGCATGTCGTTTTTTTTCTTTTTACTCTCTGTGATTTAAATGCTCCGCATGGCTTAACTGATAATTCTTTTTTTTTTTTGTAATTTTCATCCTAGGAAAAGTGTCTCGAAGATCTCTACAAAGAGACTTACGACGCGCTGTACAGCTCAGCTGCTAATACCACCGCTCCATCGATAATGATGATCGATCCGAATCAGCCTCAGTTTATTTTATCGGAACAACAAACCCATCAGCAGCAGTCAGAAGAGGTAATTTTCTTTACCGGGGGTTTTGTTTTCTTCAATCGATGAATACATAAAATTATTTTCAGTATTTAAACAGCTGCTTGAGGAAGGAGTAAGAAATGATTTACTAATCTAAATCTTCTACTTTTTCTATTGTCAGATTATACAAAAAAAAAAAAAAATAAAGAAATTCCCTTTTGTTTTTCTTTTTTTGATAATTTTTATGCATGTTAATCTTGTACATTTTGCTCAAAGTTGGGTTCAGCTGCGCATGTCCTATTCTACAAAATGATTAATTTTCTTTGAAATTCTATAAAAATATTTTCTTTTTCTTTTTTTTGATAAAAAAATAGATTTCATTTACTCCAACAGCATTTGGTTTTCCTCCTGGAACTCCTTTATTTCAACCAGCTGCAATATTTCCTCATCCACTTCTTGCTGGACATCCAGCTAGTGCTCAACCGTTTCCTCAACAATCATTTGTTTTTGCAACGACAGCCAATAATGGACAAACTCAACAATTTTTTCATGCTCATCCTCAACCAAATTTTGCTTTTCCATTTATATTAACTCCACCATTAGCAACACCACAAACTCCAACAACATCAAATAATCCTGAAACACCAATTTATAATTATGCAACACCAACATCAACGGTTACAACTACAGATAGTAGTACTTATTCGGCTTAATACAAAATAACATTATATTTGCATTTTATACGTTTTCACTTTTTTTTTTCTTTTGATATTTGATGAGAATGTGAACTTTCTCTTTAAATATTGTTTTCTTTTTTTCTTTTTTTTTTATTCAGCATATGTTGATCACGGTAAGTATGTGAGCCGTGTTTTCTTTTCTTGTTTTTTTTTTACATGTGTGCAATCATTAATAGGAAAAATGTGTTTAACATAACTTGTTTTTTTGTTTAAAAAGAAATGTACAGGTTGGAAATCATATTTTTCCAGATTGATACAGCTCAAAATACATAATATCAACATTGAATTTTGTATTAAATGAAAGATTGTCGAAAAAGGAAGTTCAATAGTATAACAAGTGATTTATAGATTAATTATGTGCTAGAGAATTACTGAAAGTTCCGAAATTTCAGGTATTCTTGAGTTCGAGTCTAGTCTACAAAAAAAACATAAATCCGCAGCTGTTTATAGATAAGTGTCGGCTAGCATTAAAAATTTTTTGTGCAAAATTTTTAAAACCGATATCTGCTTAGCTCGATCTGAAATAGTTGGTTCATATTTTGAAGATGCATAAAACTGATTGATACTTGTTTGGGCATTGGAAACTGTCGTTTTTTTTTTGTATTTTGATAACTACAAATATGCATAGATAGTGGATTAATACCAGAAGATAATTTATAAATAAGTAAATCTTCACATTGATTGTACAGAACATATTCTTGTTTGATCTTGTTTCCATAAATACAATTATAACTATCCCATACAGTTGAAGATTTTCAATGACAAATTTTGTCTATCAATTAACTGTTCAATTTCTTTTTATTTTTTATTAATACAATGCTCGTTTTTAACTAAGTGAAAACTTTTAATTTATTACGCATCGAGTAATGGAAAAGTGAACAACAACAAATAACTGTATAATCATTTTTTTTCTGAGAGTAGCCAATAAAAAAACTAAAACCTTGATTCTTCACTTGTTCATGTACACAGTCGATGCCAAATATTGGTGAAAAAAAGAAAACTCGAATCTGGGTCTGTCGGATTCGAGTTCACATTGTTATGAACCCGCAGCTCCAGACTATGGATAATCAACCGCAAAAACAAATGGGTCATGGGAAATTTTTTCTCTATCAGACTTTATAGAGATCTCTTTGTGGATTATTACAACATAAGGATCTTTTTAATTTGATGATGATGATGCTGTGGTCAAAATATTGGAAAAAATTATACGCCTATTAGACAGAGCTGTTTCAGATTTTCCAGTTTGTTGACTCTAGCATTCTCATTTATTTATCAAACTAAAAAATCTTTATATCAAGATAATCAACAGAGAGGGCTCTATAACATCTGATTGACAAAAAATTTCCCATGACCTATTTTTTTTTTCGTGTTTGACTATCTATAGTCTTTAATGAATATGTCTCAACTTTTGATAATTCTCTGATTCTTATAAATTGCTTGTTATACTGTTGAAATTCCATTTTTGGCGAGCTTTTATTTGGTATAAAATTTAATGTCGATCTTATTTGTATTTAGAGTCGTAACAGCCTGGAAGAAATATTATTTTCAATCTTGTAAAGAATATTTAGATCATAAAAAATAATTTTTTCTATAAGATTTTGTCATAATGCATCATTAATGATAAAATAGAATCAATTAATTTTAATAAAAAACAAACCTACTAACATGACAAACAATTAAGAAATCTTTCGACTAGTCATTAATCAATGTTAGGCTTATAATTACGAAATACAAAAAAAACCTTTAAAGTTCATCTAAAATATTATTAATTCAGCTGTTATATTATGACTAATATTGATCTTCTAAATATCAGTTATTTCGATGACATTTACAATTAATAGAAATCATACCAGGAAAATATTCCTCATTCAAAGTAATTGCTCATTCATTAAGCAATGCTATTAAATTATTGTGTGAAAGTCTTGACACAAAATATTTGCTCATTTTTCGAACATTAAAACATAATTGATTAATTAGAATCAGAATTTTTCTCTATTTCTGATTAGCGCAGTCCTTAATTAACGTTGTTCGTGTCTTCGAATAAATTCAACTCAAGATTATTGTAGAACATTGAATTCTAAATAAAATAAGATATTAGAATAAGCAAAATTTCATCTATGTGTTTCTACTAAAGAGTTAGTTTCCGATGAAAATTGCTCTTTCCACAACTGCTTTTTAAAAATACACAAGTTTTAACATCTATTATGTAAAATATAGAACAGAAAAATAAATAGTACACTTTGTATAGTAAACTTTTTTTCTACAAAATTGAGCCATTAAATGCTGTTTTACATTTTGAATTTAATAGTTTTCAATCGAAATATAAAATTGACAAAAATAATATTCTGTACAATCACTGTTCGAGGCTTTTTTAAATAATCTGATGATAATTATCCGATTTTGTTCCCAGAAGAAAATTCTAAAACACATATTTGCAAAGAGTTGAAGAATTCTGATTCCAACTAACTCTAATCAGTTATCTTTAAGGGTACCGGATCCTCTTCTAGATCACTTCTGGCTCTTCACAAGAATATAATCAGTCGGGTTTTAATTTTTACTACAGCTGGATTATCGAAAATGACAAGTCTCGTGCCCAACGAAAAATTTTAAAAGTAGTTCATCAAGAGTTTTAGAAGATTGCTTTAAAAATTCCTGAAGATCTACACTTCTGAAACTTTTTCTTCTAATATGGACTCACATCATTTTCGATAATCTAGTTATGGTAGAAATTTATGTCCGACAGGTTGCACTTTTTTGCGGAGAGTCAATGATAGTGTCAACGAGTTGATAACCCTTAAGTAATCGAAAAATAAATGAATGAATATTTTATGCAAAGACTTTTATGTCATAGGTTGTTTGTTTTAATGCACGAGTCTACTTCATTGTTTTCTATTTCTTTATAATCAACATTGAAAAATAACATGAAAACTCTCATTATAGTACCTTGCTTATCATAATTATACCAAGCACTAACTTATTTTTTATAAATATCCTATCTACTAAGCTTGATAAGGGGTTAGGACATTTATAATAAAGAAAGGCATTATTGATCTCTGATATATGAGGCGGAAAGATTTATAAATGTCATTGCAGCTTTATCTTATTTGTCTATTTAAAGACGAAAATAAAAATAACGATAATGAAGAAGAAAACTGACATACTATATATATTGTATACCGGATACACTCGGAAAATGTCATCTGGAAGAAAATAGTAGGATGATTCAAGCTAATTTTATTATCATTATAATAATAGATAAAATCAATGGATTTATTTTTTACCAAATAAAAAAAAATTTATTATTAATAGAGAAAAAAAAAAGAGCATCTTTTATTTTTTATTTTTCTTCTAATGATAAATACATAAGGGAAGAACCCCTCGACATTAATGTCGTATAATCACAATCACAATAATAACATCTATTGCTATTCGCGAGTTCTAGTAATACCAAGGCTTTCTTTTTTGCTTAGCGTTCTTTTCTATTCTTATTTTGCTATTTTGTACATGTAGTTTTGATATCGCTGTGCTTGCTTACATGCGCATGAAAGCAAAAGAATAAGAAGATATTTTTCTCGTTTTTCTTTATAGTCAATAAGAAAGAATTGCCGTTGCTTTTTGGGATCCGAATGCATCTTGTTTTTTTTTTGGCTCTTTTCCTAAGCAATGAGAAAACGAGATAGGATATTCTAAGTTAAGACACACACACAAATACGACAACAACTGATTGAATTCTAGTTGTTAGTTTAAAGTAAGACATGAGTCTAAAAGCAGGACTTGGCGATTTTAATAAAGATAAAGTTGCCAATAAATTTGGTGTACAATTAAAACCAAAAGATGCATCACGAACACCAACAACTCCATTGCCGACGAGAAAACCAACAACATCAGAAACATCAAATGTCACAAAAAATAAAACAATTAGTGATTTTCGTACAGACAATAATCCAAATGGATTTTTATCTAAGACAAATCGTATTACTACATCAAATACAACAGAAACAATTAAAAAATCTAATGAACAAACTGTAACAAAAAAATCTACTACGGTACCTGTGAATACATCTGTAAAGAATGAACAAGTTCATTCTTCGACCGCAAATGTTAATCATTCCACAAAGAAATCAAAAGAATCTTTAGCAACAAAAGCTCCTGAAGTATCAAAAAAATCTACTGTATCACCAACTGATAAACCTGTTTCACCAGCATCATCTGTCAAACAATCCACTGTGCCCACAACGCACCCTAAAACTGAAGCTCAAGTTGAAAAGAAAAAAGATCAACCATTAACCAGACGACAATCATCAAAAACATTGGAGAATACATCCTCAACGGAAAATAAAAATACAACAACAGCAGCAGCAAATAAAAATACAACAACAACAACAACAACAACAGCAACACCAAATGCATCGACAACTTCCTTAAAAAGGTAAAAAACAAAAACAAATTTTTTTTTTTTTTGCAACTTCCATAAATAGAAAATTCTTCTTAAAACTATGAAAGCAATTTATTGTTGGTTGGTTTTTTTTTCTTTCTCAAATATTTGATTGGAATTGAATGTATATGTAACTTTCAATTCTAAAATGCGTCAATTAATGTATACATACATTGAATATTAATAGAAAAGTTATATTCGTTATTTAAATAAGAGAGAACAAAAAAATTTATCGTATATTCATGATTACTAATCATCATCAAGCATACATTTCAATCATCTGATGTACTTTTATACATTCTTAGAAAATTTATCTATAAGATATGTCTCCTCGCTGTCGTCAACGTACATACAATACCCATATTCTCCTTCTGATTCTTTTTCTCTTCATACGTGTAATCTGATGCTTTCCAACATATTGTTTTTCTCTGATTTTTTTTTTCCTTCATCATAATCGACTTGAAAGAAAAAAAGAAAAAAAGACATTTATAACATGTCTCGACATAAAAAAGCAATGAGCTTTGTTCAATTGCTAGTCATAACTTAATACAAAAGCCTTGGCCTTGATATACAATTTTTATCTAATAATACGACCTTTATGGGCGGACACTTACTCTTACGCACTTGTATTTAATGATTCACATTAGAGAAAATCAATGTTTCATATACGCAAAAAAAAAATTTGCACCAAAAAGAGAAAAAACGAAGGACATAAATAGACATACTAAAAAAATTTTTACATTATATACAATGAAAATCAGCGGTTTTCATACAGAAATCATCTCTGATATTTTAAATAAGTAGTTTTTTTTTTTAAAAATATTATTAAATTAAAGAATTATTCTTTATCTACAATATTAAATTAATAAATAAATGTTCTATTTAATAATGCATCTTTTCATTTATTTATATTCTGTTTTCGTAGAGAATTATTATCATTATTATCATTACCGAATTTTCTTTTTTTTTTTCCTTTCTTTTCTTCGTCAATACCTACACATATGAATGATTTCTCCTTCATATAAAAACGGCGACTATACCTTTACATAGTGTATACGAGTGTCAGGTTGAAGTTGAAACACATATACATACACGCGCATTAAGTGACGTAGGTTTTTTTTTTTCATAATATTTTATTATTATTATTGTCGTTGTCATAGCTGATGCAATAGGACAACGTGGTGAGTTACTCGTTATAGTTATAAAAATTTTATTGTTCTGTATTGAGCATAAATAAAGTAAAAAGATAAAGAGAGAGAGAAAGCGAAAAAAAAAATGTCATCATCGACGTTCGCTCAACGATGGACATCCGTCAACGATTTGACAGCAAATAACAACAATAACAGACAGGTGATCTCATTTTTTCTCCAAGCATCATCATTAACGGATTCCAATACATTTACATCCCGACCTTCAAAATCATTACTCTCACTAGTCGAACCATTATCATCATCATTACTTCCTCCACCTCTTCCTCCTCTTCTTCGTCCTCGTCCTACTGGTTCATCTCAACAAACAAGACCAGTTTCATCTCGTGTTGCGGATATTATTAATCGATTCGAATCTCATAGTCAATCATCAATGAATAATAACTCAAATAAAGTATTTCCTCCAACTCGTAGTATTGTTACGCAACTATCTGAAGGAAATTCTCCACGAAATCCACCTGTTACTGTTCGTGAAACTTCTTCAATTTATATTCCATTAAATTCTAAACAGAATAATAAACCACAACCGATTATTGTCTATGAAAGAATAACTAATTCTGATAGATTATATAAATCTCCATCAACATCTCCATCCATTGCTTCACAAAGTCCTTTAGTAAAAACCTGTCTTGAAAATCAGATAATATCTCAACAAAATGTTGAAAGTGATACTGATTCTGCTATACATACAATGCCTGCTGCGATAGAAAGTAATACAAACTATTCAACTACAATATCACGTTCAAGTACAACAGATTCAAGTTGTTCATCTTTGTCTTCATCTGATTGTTCACAAGATCTACATTATTCTCTTCCTCCACTAGCTTCAACACAAAAACAACGTGATATTAATCTTAATTCAACATATTTTAAACAAATCGATTCTCTTTCTTCATCACATGTAACAATGCCTACTCGTATAACACCTTTAACAACTTCTCTAGTTAATGAAAATCTTGAATCATCACAATTACATTCACTTACTACTCGTTTTTGCTCATCTGAAGTTAACATACCTGATCGCTATCGTCAATTATCATCTTTCGATGCTATTCACTCAGATACAAATTTATCGCAAAATTCAACAAATAAAAGATTTATTGACACAAATCTACCATTAAGATACAAAAGAGATTCATTTATTCGACTTTATGGGTAACACATACATATATACTACTAATACTTTTGTTCTATTAAAAACAATAATTTTAACATTCCCTTTTCATAGTCAAATATTAAACTGTTCCGATTATTTAGAAAAAATTTATTTAATATAACTAATAACAAATGTATCTATTATTTAGACCTGATGCTCTATTCGAACATAGTCAGCGTAAATCTCCTGATGTCGTACTTGAAGATGGTATTTAACAATATTATCTTAAAAAATATGTTTATATTTATATATATGTATTTGTTTTTAGATATTGATGCACCATTTGCATCACGTAAAGTTGTAGTGCAAAAGGATAAACCTATATCAGATCAATATGAACTTCTAGAATTTCTTGGAAGGTAACTTAAGATGTTTGTTCTTTTTTTTTTCTTATTCTTAAAATTAATGATTAAAAAAAAAACTTTAGAGGAAAATTTGGTGAAGTAAAAAAATGTCGTGAACGAAACACAAAACAATTATTAGCTGCAAAATTTATAACAATAAATAAAGAACAAGATCGTACTGAAGCATTTAATGAAATTGAAATAATGAAAGCACTTCAACATCCGAGACTTTTACAACTTTATGATGCTTTTGAAACAAAATCAGATATTTGTCTTATTATGGAATTGTAAATATTTCATTTGTATTTTTTTTTAAATTGTTCTTTCTTTTATTTTCTCTATATTTAAGAATTACTGGTGGAGAACTATTTGAACGTGTTATTGATGATGATTTTATATTAACAGAACGTCTTTGTGAATTATATGCGATGCAAATATGTGAAGGAGTGAATTTTATGCATACATGTAATATTATTCATCTTGATATGAAGGTTTCAAAAATTTTTATTTTCATTAAGAGATTTATTAATTTTTGCTTTGCTTTGCTTTTTTTTTATTTTAGCCTGAGAATATTTTATGTTTAAATCGAAATGGTCATCGAATAAAAATTATTGATTTTGGTCTTGCTCGAAAATATGATCCAGATAAACAACTTAAAGTATTATTTGGTACACCGGAATTTGTTGCACCTGAAGTTATTAATTTTGATCGAATTGGATATGGTACTGATATGTGGTAAGTTATAAAACTAAAATTATTTTTCGAAATATTTATTTTATTTAGGTCTGTCGGAGTAATTTGTTATGTTTTGTAAGTAATTGAATGAAAAAGAAAAGTAATGTAAAAAAATATTTTATTAAGATTATCCGGTTTGAGTCCATTTATGGGTGAAAATGATAATGATACATACGCAAATATAAATCGGGTTAATTATGATTTTGATGATGAAGCATTTACTGATATATCAGATGAAGCAAAAGATTTCATCGCAAAATTACTTCTCAAAAATAAAGAGTATTTATTTAATAAAAGAATATTTTTAATTATTTATTTTTTATTATTATTATTATATAGTAAACGTCTTCAAGCTAAAGAATGTCTTGCTCATCCATGGTTAACTCGTCGACCAAAATTAGCCACAACTCCTAATGATGAAGAAGGAGCTGAAAAGAAAATATCAACAAAAAAATTACGTAGATTTGTCATACGAAGACGTTGGCAGGTTAATAGTTTTTATTTTTGCAAATATAAATTTCAATTAAAATTCAATATGTTTTTTTTTTTTTGTTTCTATTTTTAGAAAGCGGTCAATGCTTTATTAGCATTGAAACGTATGGGAATGACGTTGTGAAAAATACTACGACTCAACTTACATTTTTCTTTTCTATCCTCTTATTCGCACAATATTTTATATATGAGTCGCGTGTCTTTCACGAACAAACATTGCTTTTCCTGTTTGTTTTTTTTTTTTATTTTTATTTTTATTATTTTATTTTTTTTTTCGCTGTTGTTACCTGTGGTTCAATTTAATTTGTTCGCCCAGAGAATAGTGTGTGTGTGCGTATGACAGAGTGAGGGTTCGATCTTGGAGTGTACATTATTACTATTACTATTATTATTATTATTATCATTATTATTATTCTTACTTCTGCTACAAGAAAAAAAAATTGAACGATATGAAAAGAAAAATAAAGATGAGACAATTTTTTAAAATAGTTCAAGATTTTTTATAAATTCAATTATTCGTAAGAGAAATTGACGAATAGATATAATTTGTTCAGCATATTTTGGTCGAATAGTATTTCGTATAGGTAATGCTTGTTCAAATCCATGTGCTATACGTAAAAGAATTGATTCTGACCATGCCGTTCCAGCAAACATTAAACCATAAGGTTCATTATTTGATTCGTTAAAACCTAATGGAACAACAATCAATGGATAACCAACAGATGAAGCCATATAGGTGATATAATGTTTAGTATCAGCTACAATTAGTGCATCTAATTTGTATTGAATTAGTCTATAATTAGTAAAATTGATAAATACAACTTTTAATGTAAACTATGATAAATTTGTTTTAACATTTGACAAGAAAATTTTAGTAATGTTTACTAAGAATCATAGCATCTTTTTGTTAATTAATTAAAAGAGAGTAGAAATCTTTTTTTTTTGTCTTTTAATTTCAATAAGATTTTATAGTCTCAAAAAATAACTTACGTTGCATCAATTCCATATTGACCATCAAATTGACGAGTTTTATTATATAAATTTGCATAATCATTAGCTGTGAAATTTCTTTGCATATCACTCGAAATAAATATATTTTGATTTGGAGAATATACATCATGAAATTGTTGATCAGCATGTTCTATATTAAATTCAATTAGATCTCTTAATGATTTCATTCTTGTATTTTTAAGTTCAGATAAATAATTTGATATATCATGACGAAAATTATAACGAAAAAGTGATACTAAATCATTGAGTAGATTTTTATCACCAATACCACTTACATTAACTGGATCAATAACAATTGCACCATGAAATCGCATTAATTCAATAGCTTTTTGTATTTTATCTTCTCTTTCATTTGATATATGAATATCTATGAAATAGTATTAAATTTTGATTTAATGAAGAAAATTTACCTTGACGTATAACACCTAATCGAAGATGTCGAAGTCCTTCAATACCAAGTAAAAATTGTGTATAATTTTGATGACGAATAATTCCTATTTGTTGTGTTGCATAATCTCGACTATCAACACCTTGTATAATTTCTATAAAATAAAAACAAAATATTTTTTTCATTTATTCATCAAATTTATTTGTTTAATATACCGAGTAGAAGAGCAACATCTTCAACAGTTTTACCCATAGGTCCAACTGAATCATGATCATGTGAGATTGGAATAATACCTGAACGTGATGTTAAACCAACTGTTGGTTTAATACCAACAATATTTGCAAGACTTGAAGGCATAACAATACTACCAGCAGTTTCTGTTCCTATAGCAGCTGCACATAAACCAGCACTTGTAGCAATAGCCGAACCACTACTACTTCCTGATGGATCTCCATCAGCAACATAAGCTGAACTAAAAAATATAAAAAAGAATTGTTCAAAGAAAAAGAAAAAAGACACATTCATTTCAATTTACTTGCTTAAACCACCTCGTGCAGACCATCCATCTCTTGTGCTATTATCCGATTTAAAATTACTCCATTCTGACAATGATGTTTTACCTAAAATAATTGCACCTGCTTGTCTCAATCGTTGAACAATAAATGCATCACGAGGTACAAGAGAACCAACAAGTGCTAAACTACCAGCTGTTGTTTCCATTTTATCATTTGTTGCAATATTATCTTTAATTAAAATAGGAATTCCATGAAGCAATGATCTTGAACCATATATATGTCGTTCTTGATCAAGTGCATTGGCAATCGTTAGAGCATCAGGATTTGTTTCAATAACAGCATGAAGTGGATGAAAACCTTGTCGATTAACAGCATCAATACGAGTTAAATACCAACGGACAAGATCAAATGATGAATAACGACAAGCTGATAAATCTTCTGCTAAACTTTTAATAGTTGCTGTAATTGGATCTATCAAAGGAATATCAGTGTAAGTTGTACAAGAATGAAAAGATCGTGAAGAATTTAATGATATATGTATACTATCTAAATGATATGAAAAAGAAAGTTTTTCTTTTTTTTTATCTGGAATATTTGTTTCTCTTCTCATTTTACTTTGTATGATCTCGCTCTTTGTAATTATCAATAACCATGAACTGATAATGTTTAGTATTAACATTAAATCAACTGACATTTTCACATAATACACATTTATTTTTGTTTGTTTATTTTTTCTTGTACTATACAGTGGCAATTCTTATTTATATCTATCATGTTACACGTGATCGATACATTTTTTATTTAATCATTCTCTTACTAATCCAATTGTATAAGTATTCTTCGCTTGCCAGCATTATTATGTTTTCCTATATACGAGCATTCAACATTAGCGACTCTCTTTTCTTCTGTTGATATAGATTAGAGATGTGCAAAGTAATACTTAATATAATTGTTCTTCTATTCATTTCTATTTAATAGTTTCAGTATGGATCATTATTAATCTATTCAAAATAATTCTGAAATAAAACATCTACGATATAAGTCAAATCAATAGTACAATGAAAAATAAAATAATCTATTGTATCGCATTATTTGAAGATACCAGTAATCTTTTGATAAACCAATTATTAACAAAAAAAAAAGTCGCAATAGATTTTTCCATTTCGAAAATTTAATATATGGCTCTTTAATAAACTTTTATCTTGAAAAATAAAACTTGTCTTTTGATTGGTAGTACTTTTACTACGTGCATTAT